TAGGCGCACATACCCAAGTAGCAAAAATCGTTGGCAAATCGTTGGCCCAACGTTTCTGTCGATCGTTGGCCAACGGTATGTTTTGGCACTCAGTCTTCGGTTGGCCAACCAACCAATTTTTGCGGAAGGGCCAACCATCCCATTGGGCATAAACATATAAAACACAAAATAATATAGATTTTGTATGAAAAGCATAATTATGAGTTGAGTAAATTGATTAAATAGTTAATAAAAACTTATTTTGAAAATAAAAAGAGATAAAATTTTTTGACCGAGACGGGTCTCGAACACGGTACCTTCGACCTGTGAGCCTCACGCCTTACCTCTGAGCTAACTGTGCTTGTTGATTGAGGGTGTTTTCAAGTGGTAAAAGAGTAGCCGACAGGTGCAATGGTCACAATTAATACTGTACTTTAAATATTTTTGATGCTACAGTATAATATGATTCTGTTTAGGCCTCAAGTCGTTGAATTGTTTTTCTGGTAGTTGGAGAGGATACTAGTATTTGAATATAGATTATTTAATTACCATTAGATTAGTAGGCTACTGTTATAATTGATTGTTATATAATTAATTAATCTTTTCTCTATAACTATTAAAAACTTGCTTAAATAAGTTAAATAATATTAACAAAAAATGAATTATAATAATTATTATATGTTAAGCAGGTGTTCCCCACTGTATCTAGTATCACAACATCATCTGACAACATTCATTATTGATCAAAATTTTTACAATATTTGTCCTATATTCTGCTGCCATTACATTTATGTTCTTTTAAATAAATCAATTTGTTAAAATTCGTTTTAGAATGTTTCATACTTAAACCCAACGAATGCCCAACGAAGGCCCAACGATTCTTTCCTTTGTAGGGCCAACGAATACCAGATTCCGTTGGGCCAACGTTGGCAAATCGTTAAAATTTCTGCCAACCATTTCCCAACCGTGCCGACCATTTCCCAACGTTGGGCCAACGATGTGTGCTACTTGGGTAGCGTTAGATTTGTGAACTGTCTTAGCTGCAGTAGCAGTTGGTGCACATAAAGTTGGATTTGAGAACCATCTTAACTGTATTAGACGCAGTAGACACAGTTGGTGCACATGGCGTTGGATTTGAGAGTTATCTTAACTGCAGTAGACACAGTAGGTGCACATGGCGTTGGCTTGTGAACTTTCTTAACGCGCAGTTGGCGCACATAACGTTGGATTTCAAAACCATCTTAACTGTAGTAGACGCAATTGACGCATATAACGTGGGATTTGAGAACTATCTTAACGCAGTAGACGCAGTTGGTGCACATGGCGTTGGATTTATGAACTTTCTTAGCTGCAGTAGACACAGTTGGTGCACATAACGTTGGATTTATGAACTTTCTTAGCTGCAGTAGACGCAGTTGGTGCACATGGCGTTGGATTTATGAACTTTCTTAGTTGCAGTAGACGCAGTCGGTGCACATAACGTTGGATTTGAGAACCATCTTAACGCAGTAGACGCAGTCGGTGCACATGGCGTTGGATTTGAGAACCATCTTAACGCAGTAGACGCAGTCGGTGCACATAACGTTGGATTTGAGAACCATCTTAACGCAGTAGACGCAGTCGGTGCACATGGCGTTGGATTTGAGAACCATCTTAACTGTATTAGACGCAGTAGACACAGTTGGTGCACATGGCGTTGGATCTGAGAGTTATCTTAACTGCAGTAGACACAGTAGGTGCACATGGCGTTGGCTTGTGAACTTTCTTAACGCGCAGCTGGCGCACATAACGTTGGATTTCAAAACCATCTTAACTGTAGTAGACGCAATTGACGCATATAACGTGGGATTTGAGAACTATCTTAACGCAGTAGACGCAGTTGGTGCACATGGCGTTGGATTTATGAACTTTCTTAGCTGCAGTAGACGCAGTTGGTGCACATGGCGTTGGATTTATGAACTTTCTTAGCTGCAGTAGACGCAGTTGGTGCACATGGCGTTGGATTTATGAACTTTCTTAGCTGCAGTAGACGCAGTCGGTGCACATAACGTTGGATTTGAGAACCATCTTAACGCAGTAGACGCAGTCGGTGCACATGGCGTTGGATTTGAGAACCATCTTAACGCAGTAGACGCAGTCGGTGCACATGGCGTTGGATTTGAGAACCATCTTAACGCAGTAGACGCAGTCGGTGCACATAACGTTGGATTTGAGAACCATCTTAACGCAGTAGACGCAGTCGGTGCACATGGCGTTGGATTTGAGAACCATCTTAACGCAGTAGACGCAGTCGGTGCACTTGGCGTTGGATTTGTGAACTGTCTAACGCTGTCTTTGGGGGCGTTATTTTGATGAGTATTTATCGTGTAAGTATTAAATCAAAAGATAATAGTTTCTCGTTACTTCAGATCTTTTGAAATTTTTTTTTTAATAATGATTTTTTTTATAAAAATCCATATTTTTTGGAACTATCTCAATGTTGAATGAAACTTGCTTAACTGCAGTAGACGCAGTTGGCGCACATGATGTTGGATTTGAGAACCATCTTAACTGTAGTATACGCAGTAGGCGCACATAGAGTTAGATTTGTGAACTGTCTTTACTGCAGGAGACGTAGTAGGCGCACATGGTGGTTTCCGATAACGATAGAGAACTGGGTATCACAATTTAGAAGAACGGCATCATCCCGAAAAAAACTGGTGGAAGCCATAACACTGTTAGCACACCAGTCAATGTGGAGAGAGTACGAGCCGCAGTCACTCAAAGTCCAAAGAGGTCCATCAGGAAGCAATCCTTGGCACTTCAAATTTCTAGGAGATCTCTTGGAAGGATATTGCATCAAGATCTCCATTTCACCCCTACAAGATATCTGCTCAAACTCTTGTAATCACCCAAGAGCTTCAAGCAATTCGGCAAAAAATGCTTGAAAGCGTGTTCGACAGTTTTTTATTTGCCAGAAGAATGTCAATATTTTCAAGGACGCCACTGGAAGGAAATTGTTTTGAGGATATGAAATAGTGGTTTATCCAGGACAAAACAGTATAAGATTACCTTTGTTTTTATGTGTTTTTAGTGATTTAGCTATTACCGCAGGTCTCATGGTCATAGACCAGGGACCGATTTACATTTTCGTTTAGAGGCCCCCAGAGTCCAAAAACACAATCTGTTCAATTTGATATCTATATATATATTATCTATATATATTAATATATATGTATGTATATATATATATATATATATATATATAAAATCCAATGTATGTATGATTGTTTGTTTGTCCTTTTTTAGACTCCGAAACCGCTCGACAGATTGTAATGAAACTTTCAGGCATTATTCAAGGATGGTTTGTGTGAAGTTTGGTGCAGATCCGTCAAAAAGGCTCCAACCCAGTGGCTCTGGAGTTTCCCATGTTAACCTTATGAGTACTCATATTTAAATGGAATTAAAGAATCTTAACAGCTGGTTCAACTAAACATGATTGATTCCAAGGCGTACGCCTTGGATTGATTCTGTGATGTTCACTAGCATTAAAAAGTTTATAGGTTTACCAACTAACAGGGCGCAGCAATAATATTTTTTTATTTATGACAACAGCTAATTTGCCACCAAAAGGTGAGTGAGCGTAGCGAACAAACTTGAACCTGTTGGCGAGTTAGTGTAACGAAGAGCTAATCCGGAGGCAAGTGAGCACTCCATACATCTTGAGTGAGCGTAGCGAATGAGCTAACCTGGAGGCAAGTGAGCACAGCGAACGAGCTATAACCATAGATGTTATTCAATGTTATAACCTCAAGGTGAGTGAGCGTAGCGAACGAACTTCAACCAGGACGTGATTGAGTCATGCAAACGAGTTCATCTTGAAAATGAACGAGCATTTGACATAAAAACACACTAGTTAACCGCCCGTGCTCCGCCACGGGAATATTGTCTGCAATAAAAGAAATAATAATTAACAAATACTGATTCTCTTTGTATTTTATTTAGGGGTTGTTTAATTTGTTAGGCCTACATGAAATATAACTGATAGTTTGCATGTATAAACTATTTTATGTTAATCAATATCAAACCGATATATTATTTTAACCAAATGAATGTTTTATATTAATTCGAGTTTCATTTGAAAAATAAATAGTATACGAACTGGGCAATGCTGATAACCTAATAAGCAGCCATTTATGCTATTTAGATAATTTTCTCAAGTTTATTCCTATATTCGTCGTTTTTTTATGATTAAATTTGTTGTATGGAATAAAGATAGTCACTTAGCCTACATGTAAATCACGCATCAGCAGTTGGTCGCATTTCACGAATCTTTGACCCATACTGTGAGTAAAAGCTGTGTTTACGTCGTATATATAAAGTTCTGCATACTTTGATCAATGTTAGAGGGTATTAACGGTCCAATTGTATGGAAAAGGAGTCGTGGATTTTAAAACTATATAGACTACCACTACCAGAAAGATGTTGATTCAAGTGAGACTTAGAACTGGCCATTACAAATGCAGATTTGTATTATATTTTACTCAAATAGTTTTTTGTCTCTTTTGACCCTTAATACTTTTTTTATAGTCGCTGTTGATAAGATTTTCCATAAACTCAAAATGTTGATTAGGAGTTCATTTTACCCTCCCCCTTGTGACAACATAAGTGATATATCTTCATAAAATATACAAAATACACGTAAATTAATTGGTAAAACTTTATAATAGAACTAGTTCAATTCAAAAGATAAATGTAAACAATAACAAATAAAAACAACAATAATCATCTGATTATTTAAGCATATGACAATCCTCCCCCCTATTAAGCTGCTCTTAGTTGGTCGCAGTGTCTCTTAAATAACCACCCGTCTTCTGATTTAACGAGGTACATCACATGCCCAAGCGGCCTTTCGATTGTTCCTGTTGACCACTTTTCTCCTGAGACGTTTGAGTAATTTCTCATCAATACACCTTGTCCCTTTGAGAAACTTCTTCTAGATATAACTTGACTTTTATTTTGCGGGGTAGGTTTTTCGGTTCTTATGTTTCTTCCAAACATAAGCAAGTATGGAGATTGTCCTGTCGCCGAATGGCGTTCCCTTTGTTCATGTGTGTAAAGATGTCTTCAGTGCGAGGGATAGGGTACTTCTCATCTAATATTAGTTTGTTTGCTGTTACCTTGTAATCAGCGGAGAGCCTTACACTTCCATTAGGCTTTTTTACGGGAACAATTGGTGTTCCCCACTGTGAGTTTTCAACTTTGGAGATTATACCACCGCTCTCTAGTCGATGTAGCTCATCTTCAACAGCTTTTCTTAGAGCATAAGGTACTTGTCGTGGTTTGACGAAAATTGGTTTTGCCCCTTCCTTAAGCTGTATATGTCCTTGTTCTGAATTTATTTCACCGATTTCTGCCTTGAAAATGTCTTGAAAGTTTGTTAGGAGTTTATCAAGTTCCTCTGATGTGTTAGTGTCTGTAAGTTTTATGTCAGCCCAATCCATCTTGACTTCTCGGAGCCACTCACGTCCAAAAATTGGGTCTACGTTTTGTTTCAAAACATAGAGCTTCCCATGAAAACTGAAATTTCTGTACTTGCATTCAACAAAACAGACTCCCACAGGCCTTATAATTTCTCCAGTGTATGTTCTCATTTCCACTTCCGTCTTGAATAGACGTTTATTAAGTTCAAGTTTAAGAAAATCACTGTATGATAATGAGCTCAAAGCCGCTCCAGTATCAAGTTCCATATTCAATGACTTGCCTTCAATAGAAACATTAATTATAAACTTGTCATTCACGTTTGGTGTACCCATCATGTAAACCTCATGGACGTTGTCATTGTCATCTTCAACATCAATTTTATTTGATTTCAACTTGTAAGCGCTCTCACTTGCATTGCTAACCCTGTTGCGTGTAAGACAAACATTCGCAATGTGTCCAATCTTGTTACACTTCCTACAAAATTCATTTTTAAATTTGCAAGTATCAGCTTTATGTTGAGTACTGCCGCATCTGTAACATTTACCTCTTAAATCTTGAAAGGTAATATGCGGTTTGGTTTCATTTCTACTCTTACTTGTTAACCCAGATTGTTTACTCACATAGTTAACATCCTTAGTTTGATCTGTAACATAATGAGAGTACTTAGGTTTTATTGCATAACTTTCCAGTTTGGACTGTTCAATAGAAATGGCCATTTCTACCACTTCCTTAAATGATTGTGTATTTCCTTTTTCTTGAAGAAGCCTAACTCTCACTTCATTATCTCTTAATCCTCGAATGAATTGCATCTTCAAGAACATATCACAAACTGAACGTTCACAGTTGTAACACTTAAAATCGCAGTCAATTGCCAAACGTTTTAGTTCTCGAGCGTACGTAGAAATTCCCTCTTCAGTATCTTGAACTTTACTGATGAACCTATTTTGGTTAGCAAGTACACTTGGAATAGGTTCCAAACAGTTTTGCAGTATATCTGAAAGCTCTTCAAACGATCTGTCACCTGGTGCCTCGGGAGCAATCGCGTCACATAATGCCTGATGCATTTCGGGTGTAAGAGTACTAAGAAACAGTTGTGTTTTGGTTTTTGACTCTGTGATTTGTTTTAGGTCCAAGAAATTTCTAAACCGCATTAGGAAATTCCGAAAGGTTTCATTTTCCGTGTAAGGTGTGAAACTCACATTCGGTATGTTCAACTTATGCGGATTATTTCCTTCACTAGAGACATTCCTCTCTACTCCTGTTTGCTTAATAGTGACAAAGAATGGTTGTAATAAAGCTCTTGCCTAGAGGTATGTTTCCTCTACATCTGTACGGTAATCTTCTTCTCTTTCAATTTCATCTTCATCGTCTGTAGTTGTTATAATCTCTTCATGTAACAAAGTGAATCTTCTCCACGTTTCATCCAGTAGAGATTGTCTGCCCAAAGCATCGTATATAGATGAACCTTTGGTTTTCAGCACATGTAAAGTCCTTGTAATTTGAGACTTTATGATTCCTCTTTGTTGTTTTAATTTTCTAGTTTCATTTTCACTTTTATCACTCGTCGCCATTGATATATCTTCATAAAATATACAAAATACACGTAAATTAATTGGTAAAACTTTATAATAGAACTAGTTCAATTCAAAAGATAAATGTAAACAATAACAAATAAAAACAACAATAATCATCTGATTATTTAAGCATATGACAAAAGGAACAAATATTTGTGTCCCAGTTAGTCTGTTCTGACTCAAAATTCATAGATTTGCAGTACTGACAAATCCAATCCAACGACCCCAATTCAAAAAATTGGTATTTTTTTGAAGGGACTTCCAGAGCACATTTAACACCATCACTGCTCTTTACCTTTTTAGTTCGTTGGTTCTCTACATGTTTTTTTCGTTCTGTATGTCTCTTTACGCCCGGTTAATGATTACCTTTTCTTTTTCTTTTTGTACTTTTCACATCCTGGGGTGAATGATAAAGTTTTATAGCGCTATAATGACCCGAGTCAACATTGCCATTAAACATCAAGTCAGATACTTCTTCGCCAGAACCGAAATCGTAAGTCACAGTTTCTCAAGCAACTTCCCTGTGTAGGCCTACTCGAAAAAATAAAGTTAGGGTATAGTTCACTGATAAATTGTAGTTCCAAATATCAAAGCGTACTCGCCATCTGGAGAAGGTAAAATTTGGACGTCGAACACTGATCATGATTAAGATTAATCACTTACGATTTAAAATGTTTGTATGTTTACCAATCATTAGCAATTATCTGTACAACTTGCAAGCGGATTTCCCTATGACTGTTCTGGTGGCTATAGAGAATAAATTATATTGATCAAAACAATAAGTTTCCGTCCCCTACTATGTGTATTATTTCACATTCCATACTCAAACTTAAACTCAATTACCACTTTCCTTCAGATCACTTTGCAGGGAAACTAAAACATTTCAAAAATAAGTTAACAAATACACTTTCCTTGATGAAAATCGTGTGTTTATAAATAGAAACTCCAAGTTTAATAATTGCATACTGAAAGTGAGGTTATACAAATAATAACAAATGTCTGACAAACATTAAACAGCTGACGAATAATTTATAAACTGTGTATTATATTCTTCGATAAGAATTGTATTGACTCGACCTTTAAAGGGCTGTAGGTCGTAGCCCTTAGAAAAAACGTAAATTCTAAGGAAGTTCGGCAAATCTACACACTATTCCCTTTAATTTGAGACATAAATCTTGTAGATGGGTCCAGTGTCTACTATCTTTCCAATTACTGAGAACACAGTGTCACAACTGCGTATTAAATATATAGATTAAGACAGGGCGACGTCTGTCGGGCCAGCTAGTATACATATATAAATGTGTCCGTTATCGCGATAAATCGAGCAAAATGATCCGATTATTTTGAAATGTGGTACAAACGTGTAAACCTACATTCATTCGAACGAATTCGCGAACCAGCATAATCGGACTATGGGAACGGTGGTTTTTATGGGGTAGAAATTGATTTTTCCAATTTTGACTCTAAATACCCTCGCCGCAGCAAACCTGCAGACTTAGCGAATTTCCATTTACCTGATTGGATTTAAACTAAAATGTCTCCTTAAAAATATCACATTTGTTCCCTATTTAAACAGAATTAGTTTAATGAGTACAGGTTTGCTGCAACAAGGAGGGTAAAAAAGTTTTTTTTATGTAAAATATTAAAAGGTACTGTGGTTTAGTAAGAAATTAATGTATTTTCCAAATTTGATCAAAATATGTTCATAAACAATCAAACTACCACAGTTGACTTATTCTCCATAAGAATAACATGGGAATTTTAAAATTACATTTTTTTTTTATTTTCTCCGTAACAATTAGGCGCATAATAACGCTTCAATATACTAAATTATTTGTTTTTTTAAGCTCTACAAAATGGTTTGAAAATAAATTGTGAAGTTTTGTGTTTTTAGGGTCAAAAATGGGAAAACCCTATTTTTACCCCATAAAACCTTCCATAATCCCCTGTTACAAAGGGCCGATCATGCTGGTTCGCGAACGAACTCATTCAAGTTTATCCCGCCTTACACCTTCAAACCAAATTTTATCAAAATCGGACAAAAATTACTCAAGTTATCGTGCGGATGGACATATATATATATATATATATATATATATATATACACATATAGATAGATATATAAAAATTTGAACGAATTGTGTTTTTGGCCTCTGGGGACATCAAAATGAAAAAGTAAATCGGTCCCGGGCTTAGGTCTTACCATGAGACCTACGGTAATAGCTACTTCCCTATAGGGAAATTCGCTAAAAACAGAAAATTTCACGACTTCTCTCCAAACCATTATGTAGAGATAAAAAAGAATAATTTTTGTATATTGAAGCGTTGTTGTATGCCTAAAGGTAACAGAGATAATTAAAAAAAATATATTTTAATTTTCCCATGTTATTCTTACGGAGAATAAATACACTGTTTTAGTTTAATTGTGTATGGATATATTTAAACCAAATATGGAAATTTTGTTTATCTGATACTAAGCTATCGACATTGCAATAAAAAACACATCTTAATATCTTCCCCGTAGCAGCAAACCTAAGTACTTACTAAAATTAATGTTAATTAAATAGGAAATAAACCTGAAAATCTTTAGGGATTATTTTAGAAGAAATCCAGCCAGGTAAATAGAAATTCGCTAAGTCTGCAGGTTTGCTGCGGCGAGGGTATTTATATCTGTATTGGTAAAATTAAATGTTTTGTGTTATTTATAAATTGTATAGTTCTCATCGCCTACTCTGTTCTTTCGGGCTAGTGACGTCGTTTGTTTATGTTTATGACACATCTAGTTCATATTCTAATATTCGTGTTTAGAACACGGGCTTAATTTTTCTTTAGACAAAATAACAAACTATAAACGACAGGATGAAATGAAAGAGAAGCTCTATCGATTGTGAACCATTTTCAATCATATTTTACATTATTAAAAATATTTAATATTTGTTGTTGAAATATATTCAAATACTTGAAAATTTTAAAATTTTATGAAATACCATAATATGCATAATATGTTAATTAATAACCTGCGAATATTAATTACTAATTAATTGTTATAATGGAGAATATCGAAAGCCATAATTTTAAAGAGACAAGACAAAGGTAGAATATAAGTCGAAGCTCCCTATATACGTGAAGAATAATAATGGAAAAATGTTTATTAATTGATATGAGGATCAATTCAATTTCGCACGTTGTTAAATAGATAACAAATTTGAACTTTTTCAACTGTACATAAATATTTATGAGTTTCATACACACGCCACACTACTTTTATCGCTAATTTCATATTAGCTAGAGTAGTTTTCTTTTTCTATCCTAGCTGATTTGGCCGAATAGTTTGTATACAGTATATTGGCGTGTGGTATGTACCAATTAACTTACATTTACATATTTTGTAATACTGGTTACAGAATAACCTATGTAACTGCTCAATTACGGATCTGGCCAATTTTTCTCTCTGCCAACCTTGTAGCCCTCGATGTAAATGTTACTCAAATAAGCTATATGATTAGTTTTTAAGCTACAATCATAATGAATAGCTTACTTACATTTAGTTGGGACTCATACTTGTTTTGTAGCCGTAGCGTTACTACAAACCTAATTCCAACAAATCACTTGGAAAATCCATACATTAGAGATGGCTGAACCACACTGCTGACTAAGCCTACTTGCCGTGTTACGCTTGAGATAAATCCCCACTAGATACAAGTTACCTGCATTAGCAGCATTAGCTGACAGTCATAGATCCAAACTAAGTAGACAATGTGGGGGCTTTACTTATTGATATTTTATTATGAAGTAGATTAAAAATATAAGGTTATTGGTTTTATTTTTTTTTCAAACTCTATATTTCCATACACCAACAAATGTGTATTGGTTCAACCAACTTCTTCTGTTATGTCAGCTATCGAAAAGTAATTTTGACCTTAACACTATAGTTCCATAATAAGATTTAGCTATTTTACTTTCTCCCCCTATACCATAGTATAAGGAGAAAGTATTGTTTTCGTCAAAATGTTCGAGTTTGAGTTTTGAAAGTGGTTTTCGAAGTGATGTCCGTGTGTGTGTGTGTGTGTGTGTGTGTGCTGGATGTGTACAGAGCTACAGACTACACCTGTGGTCCGATTTTGATGACATTTGGTATGTACGTACTAATCCATGATATCTTCAAGTGCTTTTTTCATTTTTTGAAATTTTGATATTTATTGTAGATTATCCCATAAAAACCCATAAAATAACTGATTTTCTCAAAAATGGCCTAAACGATTTTGATAAAAACTTCGTATGTTGTAGCCCTTTAAATTCTGAACAAAATGATGTAACTCCCATTTCTGTAAAACTTACGGTTCAAAAGTTATCGTAAATTATGTTATTTTCCCATCAAAAACCCCCATAAAATAAGAGAAAATCTGAAAGAAACTGGTTTTGATTGAAATTAGTATGTGATAATCCTTATTATTCCAAACAACATAGTACAATCCCCCATTGCTGTAAAA